TCTCTCTCTCTGTCCTTTCTGTTCTTATTAAATGCCTTTCATTCTCCCTTTTTTAATGTATTAACCATTTTCCTCTCTCTCTAATTTTCTTCATCTTTCTCTTTCTGTCTTCCTTGTTTTTGTAATCAAACCCCTGTCTGTGTCCTTCCAGTTTTTGTTAATTAATCATCTAACCAACCATCTCCCCACATTTTATTAATGACTCTATCTCTCTTCTGTGCTTATTAATTTACAAACACTTTCTCTCTCTGTCTTCCTCTCTCGGTCTACTTCCTCTATTTTCTGTTAATTGACCATACTTTTCTCCCTTTTTACTTGACCCTCTTTCTTGTACCTCCTTTTGATTGTTTCTCTCTGCGTCTCTCCCAGTTTGTCTGTCTCTCTCCCCGTCTGTCTGTCTGTCTTTCTCTTCCTTTCCTTATCCCTCTCTCCAATTCTCTTGGTCTCTCTCTTTTTTCCTCTATCTCTCTCCCCTTTGTTTGTCGTTCTCTCTCTCTCTCTCTCTATCTCTCTTGGTCTCCTTCGTTCGTTTTCCCTCTCTCTGTACTCTGTCTCTCTGTCTTTCTCCTTGTGTGAGTGTATGTGCATGTGTGTGTCTGTCTCTCTGTCTCTCGCTCCTGTCTGTCGTTCTTTCTAGCTCTCTCTGCCTCACTTTCTCCATCTCTTTTGATCGCCTCCTTTTCGTTTTTCCTCTCTCTGTCTCTGCCCCTCTTTCTGCCTGTGTCTGTCTCTCTTCCTCAGTGTGTGTATGTGAGTGTCTCTCTCTTACACCGCTCCCCACCCCCCGCTCCCCCCCCTCCCCCCCCCCCGCTCTGTCTGTCTATCTTTCTCTCTTTCTCTGTCTCTCTCTCCATCTCTTTAGGTCTCCCTGTTTCTTTTTCCCTCCCTCCGTCTGTGTTTGTCTCTCTCCCTCTGTTTCTCTCTCTCTCTCTTTGTCTCTTTCTATCTCTGTCCTCCCTCTGTCTCCATATGTCTCTTTGTGTCCTTATCTTTTTCTCTATATTGCCTTTCTATCTAATATCATTCCCTCCCCGATACGCATCGGCCTTTCTGCCTCCCTCTCCCTGCAGTCCCTTTACAAATTGAGTCTGTCCCTCCACGTCTCTCTGTATATTGTCTCTCTAAAGCCACTTCAGCGTTTCTCTCTCTCTCTCATGTGTTAGAATTCTTTTGCTAAGTAGGAAGCATCACTTTCCGTGGAGGGAGGGGGAGACATGAGTGAGGTGGGGAGCGGAATTTAATTTTACCACGTGGGTGTGAGACATCCAATGAAACTTCGCCTGCACACCCTGCCCCCGCCAAAAAAAGACGCATATCACCACCTGCTTTGATGTTGGAATGAATCTAAATGAGCAGATACTTCTGTGCGTGCGAGAGAGAGACAGAAATAGAAAAGGGGGTTAATATTTTTAGATCATTGGAGAGGACAGGGGTGGGTGCGGGTGGGTGTTGGGGAGGGGAAGTGCGGCCCGGAGGGGGTTCAGTGTCTGATTCTCTGACCAATTACTACGCGGACTTCCTCTTGGGTCGTGAGAATCGGGAGATGTTCCCGGGAAGGTACTGCCCCTCCACGGAGGCGGCTTCCCCCCGCCCCCGGCTCGGTGTAGGGGGTGGGGGTGGGGGGCAAGCAATTGGGATGGAGGGGGCGCTGGACAACGGCGACTTTCCTCCCCCTACCGCCTGCGCCTCGTCCGGCCTCGCCGGAGCCAGCGCCCCGGTTTTCCCCAGTCCCTGGCTGGCGGCCCACTCTCCCGGCCTCTTCCCTGTTTACCCTCCGCCGCCTCGCCCCAGAGCCACCGAAGCGAGCTATTGCCGCCCCCGCCCCGTGGTTGGCACCTCTGTCCGGGCCCGCTCCCCTGCGAGGCTCCGGGGCCGGAGAAGGGAGGAGGGAGTTCCAGGTACTACGCCGGGCCGACAGGAGGCAGAAGCTTCAACGACTACCTGTGCGCTTCCCCTCCGGCCGGCAGCTCCCCGGGGCTGTGCCCGGCGGCGGGCAGCGCAGCCGAGGGGAGCGGAGCGGCCAACAAGAGGGTCAGCGAGCCGGGTAAGCGAGAGGTTTGGGGGCTGTACATTCAGCCCGAGGTTTTGCTGGCAGCGTCCAGCGTGGGTTCAGCGAGACTGTCTCTGTGCGTGTCTGCGTGTGTGTGAGAGAGAGGTGGGGGGGGGTGGGAATTAAACGTATGCGAGAGATGGTGTGCGTGAGAGAGATGGGTTGTGTGTGTGTGTGAGAGAGAGAGAGAGATGGTGTTTGTGTGAGAGAGAGATGGGGTGTGTGTGAGAGAGAGATGGTGTTTGTGTGTGTGAGAGAGAGATGGGATGTGTGTGAGAGAGAGAGATTGTGTGTGTGAGAGAGAAAGATGGGGTGTGTGAGAGAGAGATGGTGTGCTTGAGAGAGAGATTGTGTGTGTGAGAGAGAGAGATAGGGTGTGTATGTGAAAGAGAGAGGTGATGTGTGTGAGAGAGAGATGGTGTGTATGTGAGAAAGAGATAGTGTGTGTGAGAGAGAGAAAGATGGTGTGTGTATGACAGAGATGCCGTGTGTGTCAGAGAGAGATGGGTTATGTGTGAGAGAGGGATGGGGTGTGTGTGAGAGAGAGATGGTGTGTGTGAGAGAGATGGTGTGTGTGTGCGAGAGAGAGATGGTGTGTGTGTGAGACAGATGGTGTGTGAGAGACATGGTGTGTGTGAGAGAGATGGTGTGTGTGAGAGAGATGGTGTATGTTAGAGAGATGGTGTGTGTGAGAGAGATGGTGTATGTGAGAGAGATGGTGTATGTGAGAGAGAGAGAGATGGGGTGTGTGTGTGAGAGAAGTGGTGTGTGTCAGAGAGAGATGGGGTATATGTGAGAGAGAAATGGTGTGTGTGAGAGTGACAGATGATGTGTGTGAGAGAGATGGTGTGTGTGTGACAGAGACAGATGGTGTGTGTGTGAGACAGATGGTGTGTGTGTGAGGGAGAGAGATGGTGAATGTGTGTAAGAGAGAGATGGGATGTATGTGTAAGAGAGAGATGGGGTGTGTGTGAGAGAGAGATGGTGTGTGTGAGAGAGATTGTGTGTGAGAGAGAGAGGGTGAGTGTGTGTGTGAGAGAGAGAGGGTGCGTGTGAGAGAGAGAGAGATGGTGTGTGTATGACAGAGAGAGATGGTGTGTGTGAGAGAGAGATGGTGTGTGTGAGAGAGGGATGGTGTGTATGAGAGAGAAATGGCGTGTGTGAGAGAGAGATGGTGGGTGTATGAGAGAGAAATGGTGTGTGTATGAGATGGTGTGTGAGAGAGATGGTGGGTGTATGAGAGAGATGGGATGTGTGTGTGAGAGTTGGTGCGTGAGAGATGGTGAGTGTGTGAGATGGTATGTGTGAGAGAGATGGTGAGTGTGTGGGAAAGTATGAGTATGTGAGAAAGATAGTGTGAGTGTAAGAGAGAATGAGTGTGTGAGAAAGATGGTGTGTGTGTATGAGAGAGAGATAATGAGTGTGTGAGAAAGATGGCATGTGTATGAGAGAGGTAGTGTGTGAGAGAGATAGTGTGTCTGGTTGTTGAGAGACAATGAGTGCGTGTGAGGGAGAGTATATGTGCAAGAGAGAAAAGAATGAGTCAGGGATAGTGTGTTTGAGAGACAATGAGTATGTGTGTGTGTGAAGGAGAAAGTGTATGTGTGTGAGAGAGATGGAGGGAATGAGTGTTGAGAAAGAGACAGAGAGAAAATGAGTGCGTGAGACAGAATGTGTGTTGGAGAGAATGAGTGCTTGTGTGCATATGTGAGAAAGAGAGATAATGTGTGTGAGAGAGAAAATCTGGGTGTTTGTGAGAATGAAGAGTGTAAGATTGAGTATGTGTGCATGAAAGTGTATGTGTGTGACTGAGAGATAATGTGAGTGAGAGAGTCAAAGTTTGAGAGAGAAAGTGTGTGTATGAGAGAGGATGTGTTAGACTGTGTGTGGGTGTGACAGTGGGTGTGAGTGAGAGAGAACATTTGAGACAATGCGTAGAACAGACAGTGAGAGTGTGAGAAATTGAATGGGAATTATTGCGAATGGGAGAGAGGATGAGTGAATATGCGTTAGAAGGAGTGTGTGTGAGAATGAGAATGTGTGTGAGTGTGAGAAAGTGTGAGAGAGAATGAAAGTGAGTGAGAAAAAGTGAATGAGTGTGAGTGAGAGAGAATGAGTAAGCATGTGTGAGAGAGAGTGAATGAGTGAACACATGAACATAGACAAGTGAGGCTGAGAGACGGTGTGTGTAGGCACGTGTGAATGCAAGACAGTGTAAGTTTGTGTGTGCGGGAGAGAGAGAAAGTGTGTCAGACTGTCAGAGACTGTGTGTGAATGTATGAGTGTGAGTGAGCGTGTATGTGGGAGAGAATGTGGATCATGCACTGTGACAGTGTGTGTGAGTGTCAGACGGTGAGGTATTTGTGACGAGGATGAGAGAGCAGGAAACATGGAGAAGGTGAGACGCAGTGCATGTGTGTGAGATAGAGACAGAGAGTGGCAGAGAGTTGGATAGACAGACAGGGACGGGGTGGGGGGAAAGGAGGAGATACAAATTAATTTCTCACTGTACTTAAGCACTCAGTGAAAGGGAAGAGAGAGGAGGGGGAAGGAACAGAAAGATGATAGACATTTCCATTAATGGCTTGACATATTCCATGATTGAAGGACTGGCTAACTGCTCCCAGCATTCTCAGTGGTGTCAAAGAGCTTTTTGTGGGCACAGGTGGAACTTACAAACTGGGAGTACCCTGCATCAGTGGCAGCTGAGCGAGAGAGAGAGAAAGAGAGAGTGTGGGATGGGGTGGGGTGGGGGGAGACATGGCCAGGGAAAGAGGGAATTACAAACATTGGAAGAGATAGAGACAAAAGGGGAAAAGAATACAACCAGATAAGCAGGGAATGAGAGAAGAACATGGAGATAAGTGAACAGAGACAGAGAATGTGAAAGGGAGAGAGAGGAAGAGAGAGTGAGAATGAGAGGTGGTGAGGAACCGAGAGAGACGTGGAGAGAGGTACAGTCAAACCCAGAGAGTGAGGAGAGGAACTGTGTGTGTGTGTGTGTGTGTGTGTGTGTGAGTGTGAGTGAGAGAGAGAGAAGAAAGAAGGGAGAGAGGGCAGAGATAGAGACTGATAATGCATAGGAGTGAGACAGAGAACAGAGAGAGAAAAAGTAAAAGAGAGGAAGATAGATGCAGAGAGGGGCAGTCAAAGGGAAAAGGGGAAGAGAGGGAGAAAAGAGTGAGAAAGGCACATGGAGATGGTCAAAAAGAGGGAGAAGAGAGGAAAACAGAGAGAAAACGGCACAAAGTTTGTGTGTGAGAGAGAGAATGAGTGTGAGAGAGAGAGAAAATGAGGGTGTGAGACAGTGTGTTAGAGAGAATGAGTGCGTGTTTGAGAGAGAATGAGGGTGTATGTGAGAGCGAAGAGTGTAAGAGAATGTGCGAGAGCGTGTTGGGTTGAGTATGAGTGCGTGAGAGTGTATGTGTGTGACAGAGAGATGTGTGTTTTGGAGAGTGAAGTGTGAGAGAAAACGTGTGTGGGTATGAGAGAGGGTATCTTAGACTGCATGTGTGGATGTGAGTGAGAATGAGAGAGAACATTTGGGAGAGAGTATGCGTGAGACAGGAAGTGTTTGAGAGTGAGAGAGTGAGAATGATTGTGAGAGAGAGAGCAAGAGAGAGTGAGACACAGGGAGGGGGAAGAGACAGAAAGGCACAGAGAGACAGGGAGAGTGAGAGAGACCGGGGAGGGAACAGAGAGGTTGAGAGAGATGGAGACAATCAAAGAGACATGAAACGAGACAGACTCAGGCAAATAGCTCAGGCAGAACCAGGGAAACAAATTACGTAGATGACTCGCCATTAGTAACTTTTTCGTTCAAAAATAACCCTTAAGTCGGTTCCAGTTTTTTTTTATAAATTCAGTTGGGCTCAGCAATTACTGTTAAAATCGAGGATAGGAAATATTTTCAATTCGCCCAGCTGTGATTCAAACAGGACCGTCAGCTTGTGGAAGTCCCCTCAGGATAATGAGAAAGAGAGAGACAGAGAGAGGGGGACGGAGGTAAAATAAAATACAGCGATAGACAGAAAAATATAAAGAGAGTGAAAGACAGGAGGAGGCAGACAGACCGAGTGAGGACAGAGAGAGAGAGAGAGAGATACAAACAAAAACACAGGGAGAGAGTGAGAGACAGAGAGAGAGAGAGGGAAACTGAGAGAGCTCGAGCGAAACAAAGACGCAGAGAGAGACTGTGGGAGATAGAGAAGCAGAAACCAGAGACGGACAGAGATAAACAAAGAGGCAGAAAGCGAGACAGAGACGCATAGAGACAGAGAAAAGAAGATACAGAGAGAGAGACAGAGAGACAAAGCCTCACGGAGACCATAATCCACATTATTGTCCAGAGTAAGAAAAACACACACAGTCTATACACATACACACACAGTCTTACAGAAATTGTGACACATACAGAGACAGAGAAAGAGACAGACAGACACACACACGGCCGCAGAATCTTACAGAGACTGACACACGCATAGGGACAGAGAAAGACACACACACACACACAAACACACAGAGTCTTACAGAGCATGAGACACGCAGAGGGACAGAGAAAAAGACAGTCAGTCATAGCCTTACAGAGACTGAGACACACATAGAGACAGAGAGAGAGAGAGAGACACCCACACAGTGTTACGGAGACTGAGACACACAGAGAAAAAGATAGACTGACACACACGGATACAATCTTACAGACACCGAGACACATCGGGACAGAGAAAGAGGCAGACACACATACACAGACCGAGACACATAGGGACAGGGAGAGAGAGAGAGAAGCATACAGAGAAAGAAACACAGATGGAAAGATAACTTTTTAAAAAAAGAATAAACATTTTGGAACCGCCAAAAACAAAATGAATCTGTGTGTCCTATTTCCGCCAGTCCAGGCTTTCGGTGTTTGAAAAAAATGTTTTCTTTTCCTTTGAGTGTCTCAAACTCACCCCTTCCCCTTATATTCCAAAGCGCCACCCCCCACCCCCAACCCCCGAAATTAAAGCCAACTCAAACTAAATAGAGGAGCCAGGGCTGTGACAAACTTCCGCTTCAATTTCAGGTGAACGGGCGCCTGGGTCGACCCAGTCCAGCCGCAAGAAACGCTGCCCCTACTCAAAATACTAGACTCTGGAGCTGGAGACGCAGTTTCTTTGCGGAGCGTATTTAACGCGGGACCAGCGGCACGAGGTCGCCCAGCTCTCAAACCTGACCGAGGGGCAGGTCAAAATCTGGTTCCAAAACCGCAGGATGAAGAGGAAGAAGGCGAACAAAGAGAAGACCGACCACCGGGGGGGTGGTGTTGGTGGTGGTGTAGAAATGAGAGACAAACACAGAAAACAGAGAGAGAGAGAAATCACACAGTCAACTTGAAACGTGCGAACTATGTGTATAAAGGCGAAAAAGAGGGGAGGTGAACGGGAGGAGAGAATCTTGAACAGAGATTTATAACAACAGCAGCAAAATAAACTCCAACATGAGCCTTCCTGGCTTTTTATTTTTTCTAAAGAAGCATTAAATCCTCAACCTGCGGGACTTGCGCTGACGTTTCTTTCCAGTTTTGCTTCCAGGGAGAAGGAGCAAAATTACCTCCTCTGGCGCTAACTGAGCTTAGGACAATGTAAAAACTTCTGGCGAAAAAAACTAAGTTATTTGAGTTTGTACTGTTGGACGGCATGGGACGAGAGATGTGCATTTGCAACGGTGTTCGGGGGTGTTAAGTTATGTCCAATTCGTGTACAGTAAATGTTCTGTGTGACATGCGTTTTCCTAACTTAGTTTCGTGCGATTTATATTCGTGAAGGAAAACAAATGGTTTGTGTGTGCGGGCGTGTGTGTGTGTGTTTACGAGATAGTGCGTTCTTTTTTAAGACAGAGAGACAGAAAAATTAAGATCTCGTTTAGGTTCCATTCCGAGAGTGTTATTTTAAAACAGCAGGTAACAGAATAAAGTAAATGATAACGGCCCGGTCGCCAATCTTGATGTAAAATTTCGACGGCGCAAGATTTAAATACACTTGTGGTTTAATCGGAGAAATTTTGAGTCGCTTTAATTTTTATTCGCGTGTGTCTCTGTGAATGTGCGTGTGTGTGTGAATGTGTGCGTTGCTGTGTGTGAATGTGTGTGTGTGTCTGTGAATGTGTGTGTCTCTGTGAATGTGTGTGCGCATGTGAATGTGTGTCTGTGTTTCTTTGTAACCGTGCACGTTTGTATCTGTGTGCACTGTAAGTGTATATTTGTTTGTATGTGTGTGTTTATATGCCTGAATGTGTGTGAGAGAGAGACTGTTCGTGTGTGTGTGTGTGTGTGTGTGTCAGTGTTTGTGTCTATGTTTGTGTCTCTTTGTGCACGTTTGTGCCTGTATGTTTCTATGTGTGTGTATCTGTACATGTTTGTGTCTTTGTGTTTGATTGTGTCTGTGTGAGCAGTTTGTGTATATCTTTGTGTATGTGTGTGTATGCGTCTTTTTGAGTACCTGAGTGTGTGAGAGACAGCCCCTGTGTGTGTGGTGTGTGTGAGCATCTGAATGTGTGATTGTCTGTGAGCGTGTGTGTGTGTTCCTGGGGAGGTGGTTTTGGAGTGAAGGGGGTTGTTCGGTTAGTGTCTATGTGTGTGTGTCTTTATGTGTGTGTTTACGTGTGCTTCTGCCTGTGTCTGTGTATCCATGTGTGTGTGTTTCTGTGTGTGAATGTGTGCATGCTTATGTCAGAGAGAGAGAGAGTGAATGTGTCTGTGTGTGTGTGTGTGTCTGTAGTGTCTTGAAAGGCAAGACAACAAAATCATTAGTAGCACTTTTAAATTATTGTTTACTGTTCGGAAGTTTTACAGTCAGTGTACACTCATTATAGCAGCCTATTAATTCCTCTCTCGCCTCCCCGTCCAACACTGCTCCCGCAGAATTACTCCTCGTCAATGCATGGAGATTTTGTACTTTTTTTTCTTTTTTTTTAAATGCAGGTTTCAAATTCTGGTAATCGAATCCGCCCCACCTCCTTTCCTCCAACCCTCCTCCCCACTTCTCCTTTGTTTGTGGTAGACCTACAGACAGACAGAGACAAACACACACAGAAATTGACCCAGACACACGCATGCACAGACACTCAGGCAAACATACAAACACACACACCCACACACACACACTCGCACACTCACTGACACATACACGTACTCTCACACCTTCCTCCCCTTCTTGTCGGAAGTGCAGTGAAATTTCGCTTTCGTTGCCACGCTTTCCCGGGCATTAAGACCTCTCAACCTTACGGAAAATTTCAGAAAACGGGGTGGAGGGGACTAGGGGATGAAAATGGGGAGGAGGTGGGAAACGAGAGAAGGACGCCTCGCTATCATCGCACTGCAAGGCCCCTTCTCGGCCGATCGGCGCGTTAGATAAATAAGGGTGTGGATGAACACCGAGACAGACAGGCAGATCGACAGGCAGCGGCTCATAAGATATTCAATCCAAAAGGGAGTTGAACGGGACCATGGGCGTTTTTACACGCGGTAGAACCGGCAGCCCCCACATCCCACATCCCAAACAATCGCTCCCCACCACCACCCCCCCCCCCCCCCACCCCCAGCACACACACACACACACACACACACAGAGAGAGATACACACACATTTAGATACACACGCTAAGGTTCACACACACACACATTTAGATACGCACACTAAGGTTCACACACAATCAGACACACACACACATTTAGATACGCACACTAAGATTCACACACACACAGATACGAACACATTTAGATACACACACTGAGATTCACACACACACAGATACACACACACATTTAGATACACACACACTGAGATTCACACACACACAGATACACGCACATGCACAGATACACGCAGAAAGATGCAAATACACTGAAATACACACACAGATATACACACAGAGATACACAGATATACACACAGATATACAAAAACTGAGATACACACAGAAAGATGAACACACACTGAAATACATACACAGATATACACACAGTGAGATTCACACACAGATAGACACACACACACCGAGATACACACGCACAGATATACACATGCAGATATGCACACAGAGTGATATATACACACAACTATACACACACAGAGATATACACACAGATATATACACACACAGAAAGATACACACACTGATACACACACAGAGATGCAGACACTGATATACACACGGAGAAACACAGATATACACACACTGAGACACACATGCAAATGAATACTGAGATACACTCGGAGAGATACATACACACTGAGATACAAACACAGATGTACGCATAAGAAAATACACTCACTAAGATACACACACAGATAAACAGACACACTCTGAGATACACACTGAAAGACATACACTCACACTGAGACTTATCCCTGAGATATATACACACCCAGGTACACACACACTGACACACAAGCATTGTCAAATATATGTGTCTCCGTGTTTGTGAGTGTATGTGCTTGACTATGAGTTTGTGTAGTGACTTTGTGAGTGTGTGTGTGCACATCTGTGTACTTTATGCATGAGTGCGTTGTTGGGGAAACCGTGAGTGTGTGTGTGTAAGTGTGAGAATGTATGTATGCGTGCACTATTTGTGCGTGGGAGAGTATGTGTGTGTGTGTGTGTGTGTGAGATGTGTATAGATGTGTTAAGCGTGTGTGTCAGTAATTCTGTGCATTTTGTAAGTTTGAGCGTGCACTGAGAGAGAGAGTGTCAGAGAGTGCTTGTGCATTGTGTGGCAGTGTGAGATGATACGTGTGTGTGTGTTTGAGTTTCAGTGTGGATGTGTGTGTAAGCTAGCATGTGTGTGGCTGTAAGTATGTTGTAGTTTCTTTTTCAGAATGGGTGTGTATGTGTGTAAGTGTGTGTGTGGTAGTGAGTGTGTGTGGTAGTGAGTGTGTGTGAAAGAGACAGTGAGTGTGTGCATGTTTCAGAGTCTGCGAGTGAGTGTGTATGTGGTAGCGAGTGTGTGTCATAGTGAGTGTGTGTGAAAGAGACAGTGAGTGTGTGC